CAGTATATATATATATATGTTTATGTTTGTTTAGCCTAGATAATTTCTTAAAAGATTTTATTTTTTTAATTTAATTTTTGAAGATAAAGTAAAAAAAGAAAAGAAAATTGATCCATTGTTTACTTGCAAATACATTTTATGTAAAGATTTAACTTGTTCAAACAATTATTTTTCGAATTATTGTCATCGGAATCTTAGATCATTGTCCTGATAATAAAAACTTGTTCTATTTAAGGAGTTGATTAATTGGATTTTTATAATAAGGATATATTTAGTACTGATTTATAAACTTTTTATATTAAAAAAAAATTAAAGATAAAAATTATATAAAATACTAAATATTTATTGGAAAAACTTGTCTATTTATCACAAACAAGACTTTAAAGTTCTTAACAAATTCAACTTAATCGTAAAAACATCTTCAGAACTTAATTATAATAAATTCCTAAAACTATTTTCCTATAAATTTACTCGTATAAACATAAAACTTGTTCGTAAGGCCATACAAATAGAAATTCCTATGCCCTTTACGAACAAGACGTACTGTACAACATAGACCAAAAGTCAGTAAACTGTTTCAAAGAATAAATTGTTGTTTTGTTCAAATATTTTATTTTCTTACAAAATAAAAAATTGTCAAAATGAAATTTTTCTTATCCAATACATAAATAATAATGCCACTCTTCACACTCATACAACTATTCACTATATGTAATAGAAGTGTACTGTACTGTACTACATGCACAGCAGTGCTAGTAGTATAAATAGCGATGTATAGTATGCGTTGTACACTACTGTACAATACATATCACACACTACTCATCGCATAATAGCGCTCATTACACTCATAAACTGCTGAATTACTAGTAAAAAAAACTCAGCAACAGTTGCTTAACTTTCCCGGAAACATTTAATGACGCCAACTGTTATTATATTTTATAAAAACACTTTTTATATTTTTAACTATTATAAAATGTCAAAAAGCTTAATTTTTGGGATAGATATGGGTTTTATAAATAATTGTAAATGCTAATAATGAGTAAAATCGTTATTAAGTTCGACCCTACTAGAGATATAACACACGAACCTCTTTATCTCCCCACCCCTCGACCTTTAATTAACCACCAAAATTTAATGGCATCAATCCTCCTAATAAACAAGTCTCCATGAAAAATTTCAGAAATTTTCGATAAAAAGTACAGGAGTTATTAAGCTTCAAATAGGAAAGAACAAAATCGTGTTCCCTTACACATTAACATCCATATATACAAAAAAAAAACCTGAATTTTTTTTTGCATTACTCGACGTTTCAAGATGTCCTAAGCTCATAAATGTAAATCTTGGAGGGTCATTTTTTTGACCGATCGCCATGCTTTCCCTCTGTTATATAAAGTAAAAGTATGGCTAACTGATTTTTGGGCGATCCTACTTCTATTAGAATGTAGTATATCTATCAGTTAAAATATAGGTTAAACTATGCTTTCGTTTAACTTATACAGGTAATTAACACAAGAATTACATAAATATTAATATTTAACNGAAAATATATTAAGATTTGTTATATGGAAAGGAGTTATTCACAAAATTGTAAAAATATTAATATTTATTGTCTATCAAATAAAATTTAAAATTTAATTTCCAATCGAATTTTAAATTAATTTTTCCCCCTTTATTTTTACAGTCGAAGAACAATCGGATCAAGAAAAGGATGCTGATGTAAACTGAACTATATAATTCCATAATAAAATAACAATTTAAACTTTCTTAAAAAGTGTTTTAAATAGATTAAAATTATTTATTATTATTATTATTTTTCTAATAATTTTCTAAACATTAAAAAATGTTCTAGAAAATAACATCAGTTCGTGATAAAGTATATGACAGATCACATATTATTATGAGGTCATTTCTAGCTTCATTTGCGAAGAGTGTTAGTCTGTCGGTCTGGAGGCATTAAATGACTCTCGTTTACGACCTAAAATGACATTTGCTCGTGTTTCTGCAATATCTATGACCGCGTAACATGCAATGCCTCTTCCCAGTTACTAATTTCTTTGTTATTTTCTTCTTCTTCTTTTTTTTCGTTACTCTTTGAAAGGGATGTTACTTTTTAAGGAAATTTAAAATTCTCTTCAACTTCTAATTAATTATATATTTATTTTAAAGATATTTTAAAGTCTAAAACATAATTTAGATAATTAGAATTTACCTTTCAAAGTCCTCATCACGTTTATTATTTATGATAATCTTTGAGTTCAAGAACAGGTTAAGATTTCCATAAAACAATGAGTAATTTATTGTTTTTCGCTGTTTCCTCTTAATGGAAAAATCACTATTTTTTTCTTTTTTTCTCATTTTTACGTGAAATTTTTATTATTTAAATAAAAGAATTAAATTCGTGTAAATGAATAAAAAAAATAATCAACTTTTGTATGATATTTAATAACATAAATTTATAAAATAAGCTTATAGTTAATTATAACTGCATAAATTATTAATAATATATAAAAATTGTTA